ACACGCCAAACAAAAAAAAAAAAAACATTTGAAAACCTAACAAAAACTCATCCAACACATCCTGAAGAATATTGCTAGAAGATAAAAGCAAGCAGAGTTTATAGATTCAACAAGGTATACATTGCAAAAATCAAGAATAGAAATACAGTATATGTGTGTGCTGAAAGCACAAGAGTTTAAGAACATTTACAGATCAAAGGCCTTGGCAAAAATAAGTATGCCTTTCAGTGGTGCTGGTGGAGGCTATCGTGGTCACAGTGAACGCTGGCAGTCCCCTCATGTTCCATTGCTATCATTAGACCCAAACCCCTGGTTCAAGGAAGAGTGGCACAGGAGCTAGGACTGCATCATTGTTGACAGGACCATTTTGCCAGAGGTCCAGAAGCCCAGGCTCAGAGCAATTGTTGGGCAATTGGGAGCTGCTTAGGGACAACTCCATGGCTTTTGGGTAGCTGCTGTTGGAAGTAGTAAAGTTCTTTTATTATAATAGCAGAGAGGCTAATACGTTCCTGAGTACTTCTAAGCACAAGGTCATACAGAAAGGATCACAGAGAGAAAATCCTCTGATGTCACTTCACTCCTGATGCTCTTTCCCCTAAGCCTGGCCACTTTTAATTCAACCATTTGCTGGTTTAAACAAGACAAAGGTGCTCCTCGAGTTACAGTATTTTCAATTTAATGTGACTATATTGGGATGTGACCCCGCCCCAAGTGGAAAATGTACTTAATATATTTACCCTACCAGACATCCCAGCTTTGCTCTAAAGTGTTTACCCTAAGGACCATGATCCCTGCTCTTGCCCATCACTGCAAGATAGTATCTAACAGCAGCATATCCCCAGCCCAGGAAAGGACCCAAACTGAAAACAAAAAGGGCTGTTTCTAGGAATGTTTACCACCTTCATACCATGGTAAAGTCAAATATTTGTAAGTCAAACCATGGTAAATCAGGGATGGTCTGTGTATCCCATCCCTACGAAATGACCCAGGTCCATTTCCTTAACAACTGGATTGTTTTTGAAGTCTATGGACTGCTATTCACATGAAATTTAAGTACTTGGCTTAGCAGTGAAATATTTTACATCTCCACCAAAGTGTTTGGTTGTGTTGTGTTCTGCTGAGGCAGCTTCAGACATGGATCCATGCTGATTTTCCTATAAGGAACCCGCTTGTTTCACGACTTCAGTGTCCAAGAGCACTGTGCTTTGTATTCCTTAAGTGATACGTTTCTGGATATATGCCAATCTTGAGTCTAGGTGGATATTCTGATGGGGTGATATGTGTTGATAAGATAGGATCTGTCTTCCTTCCATTCTTTATCATAGCCAGCTATAGATTTAATCACTAGTTCCTTGTTAACTGGATGATTTTCAATAGGAGCTTATATACTTGGATGTTCATTAAGCTGTCTGTTTAAATTCAGTGACCTTAAATGAACCCAAATGACAGCATCACGTGCAGTAATGATAATTTGCCTGAGACAAAAAGTAAGAAACCACTTGGTAAGTAAAAGGGTACCAGTTTATAATATAATTAGGATTAAGGCCTGAAGCTAGTCTTTCATGAGATGCAGCTAGAAGCTAAAAAGATAAAATAAAAATGCATATATGAGCACAGGAAGACAATCAACATGCTTTTTCAATCTCAAGAGGAGTTTTGGATTTCCTTTTCTTCCATAATTGTCTCTATGAACAGTATGCATGCCTAGGGATTACAAAAGAAGAGTGGCTTTGGATGTGAGACATAAGGGCTGAAATACCTGATGGTTACAGGACCTAGAAATAAATGTCTGCGGTAGGTTAATGTCAGAAGATCCTCACACTGGACTGTTTGCAGGGGAGGGGAGGGGACACTTGGGCTCCCAATCAAATGACAGACTAAACAGACACGGGTGAAGTGGTGAATGTGATCACTATTTTCAATCTCCACCTTTCCTACTCTGGTCCAAAGAAGTACCCTTTGAATTTGGCAGACAGCCTCTTACCTGTTCTGTTGGCTTCCATTCTTGGCTTCCTTCCCACAGTCCAGGGTCAACATTGCAAGTCTTTGAATATATAGGTCACATTATGTCATTCTTTTGTTGCATAGTCTCTAATGTCTCACCCCATTCATTCACAGTATAAGCCCAAATCCACGTACAGTAATTCCCCAACTCAGGTCAAGTTGCCGACTTTCACAGTGCACTGCATAAGATTCACAGGTGTACCGTGTAAGACTCACTTTGTCAGATTATGAATAAATAGGACTTATGGACATTGAAACTTGCTCCTGAGTCAGAGACTTACTGCAATGGCCTCCAAGCCCCCACTCAAGCTGACTTCCAATTACCTCTCTGATTGTCAGTACCTGCTCTGAGCTTCATGCACTCTGCCCCCCTTGGTATTCCTCAGAACACCAAGTGCACTTCCATAACAGCCCCCGCGGCACAGTGCTCCTCCTTCTTCTAAGCATTTCCCCTAGAGCTCTTCATAGAGTTCCCTCACTTCCTTCAAGTCCTCACTCGTGTTTAATACTGTGCATCCTGATCTTCCTCAGCTTGCTCTATTTTTCCACAAGCACTTATCACTTTCTAATACATGCTTTCTTTATTGAATTTATCTTGTCTCTTGTCTTTCCCACTGCTAGAATATACAATACACTAGAATAAGAAATTTTCACTATTTTGTTAACTGATGAATCCACTTAAAATGAATCAGACTTTGCTTTTAAAATAAATACATGTAGGATGCTCACTTATATAAAAGCAGCAAATGATATGACACAGACTAAGAAAGTGTCAAAAATTTTAAAAAAGGGTTTCTGAAAAGAAACCCTTCATTGGGGAGTAATAAACATGAATACTGTGATCAGACAGATACGGATTTGAGGCCAGTTCTGCAATTTACTCTGTGACCTTGGCCCAGTTATTCAATAGGAGGAGTCCAAGATTTGCCACTTGCAAAACTGAAATGAAAATGCCTCCTGGGGTTGTTGTGGGCTTACACACCTAAGCCAATGACAGACAGGTGGGAAGTCCTCACCACTCTCTAGTTCTCAGCATTATTCTTCTACCAAAAATCCTCCCAGTCCCAGACTTGGTGTGGTTTTCTGAGCTTCTTCTGCTTGTATTTAGTGAAATCCTTGGATTTTTGGATTTATAGATTTCATCAGATATGGACAATCTCTGGTAATTATTCAAATATTTTCTCTATACCCAACTTCCCTTTGAAACTCCATTCAATATGTATTTTGCCATTGGGGAGTTTCCAAATGTAAATTTGCATTCTTTGCTTTTTTTCTGTCTTTATTTTCTTCTTGTGTTTAATTTTGGAGAGTTTCTATCAATTTGTCTTTAAATCCACTCATCTAAAAAATCCATAATGTCTAATCTGTCACCAGTCCTACCCTGTGTGATTTTAACTAAACTTTTGAGAATTTTTCCCAAAGCTGTCCTACCTCAACTTAGCCTTTTTTTTTTTTTTACCTAATTTTCTACCTGCTTTATATTTCCTTGCACATTAAGCAGAGGTATTTTCTCAAAAGAAAGAAAGTTTTGCAGTGTGTGTGTGTGTGTGTGTGTGTGTGTGTGTGTGTGTGTGTGGTGCTGGGGATGGAACCCAAGGTCTTATGTATGCTAAGCACATACTCTACCACTGAGCTACACCCCTAGCCCAGTACCCTGTTAAATAGACAAACACTGAAAAATGCAATACAAAATCAATGCTGCCTGTTTAAAATATGTGTTCACAGATTCTCCACCTGTCAGGAGAATTTAAACACTGAAAAGACTGTTCCCAAAACACACAGCTGCTTTCAGACAGAACCGTGTGGGCTCCTGAGAACCACAGCGCTTTTGAAAGCCCCATACTGCTCATGCGAGGATTTCAATAAAAACAGCAGTGTGCATAAACACAGGCCACTCGTCTGTGCATCCTGGATGTATGAATGCCTATGGTGTGCCAGCCTCGGTCCTCATTCATGATACTGGCTATGTTGCAGATCAACAAGACAGCCAAGGTCCCTGTTCTCCCAGAGAACAGGAATCCGGACAATATACTAATATGATTCCTTTGGGCATTACTACATCCCTGTGAAGTAGTATTATTGCCATCTCCATTTTACGAATGAGGAAACCGAGGGCTTCAAGGAAATGATCTTCCCTCGTATTACATAGTGAGTAAATGGCAGAACTAGGACTCAAACCCTTTAGCTTCTAGCCTCTGCTGTCATTGCTCTGTAATGCTGTTAGCACTGTGGAGGGCCCGCTGATCAGCATGGGTCCATGCACCCATGGAGTGGCATGGAAAGAGGAGGACAGCCTTGACACTTTTTGACTCGGTGATGCCTTCTGCAATGCCTCTTCTGTTCCTCTATACCTCTCTCTTGGAAGGTGGATTTTTCCTTCCCAAAATGAAGTTTCTGATCACTGGGGATAGGTCCAGGTTTTAGATTTCTATTAATGTATATCTCTAAAGCAGGGACTCTACTGACTTTAAGGGATGAAGAAATGGATGCCTTAAGGAAAGGAAAGGGACAACCTAGACTAATTAGTCTGGACGCCACCCTGCTGGGTGATAAGGTCTGATGGATCTACTCACCTTGCCTATTACACTAGGCAGGTTGGAAACTTCCCTTATTAAGTATTCTCATGAGGCAAGAAGACCTTCCGAGCGTCTGGGATGGAGCTTACCTTCCTTTTCTGAAGTTACTGCAGGTACCATTCTAAACATGGCAGCAACTAGCTCCCAATCATAATGTCTACGAAATGGCAACTGTGGTGCCTGGCTCATATGAGCTACTTTTTGAAATTAAAACCTTTCTATGTTGGCAACACATATTAGATAAGTCATCATCATTACAGCCATCTGGCCAAGTTTGAGCCTATGGCTTTCAATGCACATACATCAAAAGAAGAAGCAGCAGGACTCATTCCAGGGGTTATTCCTTGAAGTGATCTATAAACAAGGAAACAAGAGATGGTAAGTATGTCTCAGAAGCCATATCAATTGACATTTTCTATCACACAATAAAAGCAATGTTCAAATAAGAAAAATGATTTATTTTTCCAAATACATAACATCAGTTTGGGGGGTGTTGCTTTTTCTGCACCAATTTCTACAAAGTCAACTGTCTGGACCCGCATCACAATGAAGTCTACTATCCATTTTGATGCCATATTTTAACAGTAGTGAGCAAAGAAGCAAGGTTTTTTCAAAAGCCAATGTATACGAGCAATTGTTTTCTATTTTTAAACCAACTAAAATTACAAAAAATGCCTTCAGGCCCAATTTAATTCTGTTTCTTGTAATTAGAGAATCTTTCCATTCTAGGGCTTATTAACAGTTCATTTCTATGAAAATTAGAATTCTGGTGCCCAAGGTGAGAATGTGGCTTTGTGGCTAACTGTGATATGAATGCTTTTCACCCATTAAAACAAAATTGAAAGACAGACAGATGAGAGGAAAAGAGGAAAAGGAGGGAGAGGAAGGGAGAAAATAAATAAATGAGAATCTTTTCTTTTAATATTGATAGTTTTTCAAGCCTTAAAAATCTCTGTAACCAAGACTTTATCATAAAAATGTATTTTGTTTCCAAGAATTTCTCTTAGCAGCTGGGGACACAGCTTAGTGGTAGGGAACTTGCCTAGTGCCTGAGAGTACCTGAGTTCCATTCCCAGCTCCCTTCCCATAAAAAGATTTGTTTTGGATGCCAAAGAGTGAAAAAGCCCCTAGCTTGCCACAGAATGAGAAAATGGAGTTTATAATAAAGGCGATAAAAAAGTAAGACCTTGTAGCAGCAAGACAATGACAAAATGATGCCTGTGAGAACTGCTCTCAGTTTATCAAGAAGAGACAAAATTAATGGATTAGCTGGCCCATTACACAGTTTAAAAACTGAATACTAAGCCAGGGGGCAGAAAGTTTCTATTCTCTATCTCACAGGACCCAGACAAAAGTCCATTTTATATGTATCATTCATTTCTAATGCTAGAAAAATTAAGGGTTTGAACATTTTATTTTGGATGATCCAAGTACATTATCTTTGACAGTGCTGCTTTCCAGAGCACAAAGCAGCCAGTTAATGAGCTATTTCAATCATTTGTGTGCATAATTGGTCCACAACATGTCTAATATGTATGTCTTCCTGATTTGTTTTACTGATTTTAAGTAACTTGGACATAAAGTCACTTGCAAATGCACCCAGGATTCATTTAAATAAAATTCCTATCAGAGATGATTATTTGTATATTTTAGATTGTTTTCCAGTCTTTGCCTAGATGTATAATGCAGTTGCATTGAACAGAATGTTTTCTCACCTAAGAAATGCTGCAAAAAGTCTCAAGGATATTCTTGACCTTCAGGTCTTTCTTCATATTGACCCCCTGGTGGCCCACATGGTGGCCCCGGCTTCAACAAGGTGCCACCCCCACCTGTCTACCTCAAGACGCGGCTCAGTGCTGCAGACTCATGTATTCAGCCTCTTTCGGCACAGGAACCTGGGTATCTAACAGACACGTCAGCTCTCCCAGGTCCACACACATCCTCCAGAGTTGCCCTCCTCCCACCAGTGACTCAAGACTGAGACCTGGGAGTCACCTCTGACTTTTTCTCAACTCTTTTCTGCCTTGTATAAAGGTTCATTATCACTTCCTGCCCACCTTTTCTACGCGGCAGATTTCCGGAAGGCAATGGACATGCCTTGAATGTCCCATGTCCTAAGCTCTTAGCACAATGCAGAGCACTTACTAGGTACTTTGCGGATGTCTGCTGAGTGAACAGAGGAATAAACAAAAACCTCAGCCATCAGTCTAGTCGACATGCTGTACATCCTTCATCTCAAAGTTGCTTGGCTTGACCCAATTATTCTAAAGGGCAAGCTGGGGACTCTATCTGTTCCTTAAAAACAATTTAATGCTTTCACACTGGCCTACAAATAAAAGGAATATACTGCTGTATTGCCTAACATGGCAGGCACAAGCTACATGGGGCTATATCCAAATTTAAGCTAGTGAGAATGAAATAAAAATTCAAATTCAGTTCTTCGTGGGTGAAGCAGGGTCCACCACCATTTCCACTTTCTATTCTCTATGGGCAGTGAAGTACCAAAGGGTGCAGTGAGTCCCACTGGACAGAAGGCAGACTTTGACAGAAACAGAACAAAGCTCCAGTTCCACCAACCTGAGTATCAAGAATATAAATTAACAAGAGCAACTGTTTTCTAAATGGTTTGGTGAGCCAACACTTCATGCCTCTCTATAAGACAATATTGATGTCAAATATTTGACTTAGAATATAAAAGTCACAAATAAGCACATACATGTTTGGAAAGGTGTTAAGGACTATTTCAAACCTACCCAGCCTGTGCACAGAACACAAGGATATGATGTGTGCATCACAGGTTTGCCACTGTGTGCAGCAACAACCGCTGCCTAAGGGCCCATATAAACACAACTTTCCTTTTCCAAATTCTGTCACTTAATTTTCAAAAAGGAAGAAAATGATCTAGGAAACACACTGCTAGGTGTAGTTACATTAAGAAAAAAAGGGATGAAACAAACTACATTTGAATTCTGCAAAGAAAAATGCCTCTGTCTCCTTAGGCAAAATCTCCAAATGCTTCACTTAAACTATGCCCTTGATGTTTCTACAGTAATCTTTCTCCGAGGTTTGACTGTCACTGGTGAAGTAGTCAACGCTGCTGAAGCACTCAACTGTAATGTAAGGTTGTTCTTGGCTAAAGCAATCAGGTGCTCCTACATGCTATGTAAATGAAACTGTACACGTGAAAAAGATGCCACACAGATACTGTCCCTTCATCATCAGTGGAGTAGGAACTAAGGTGTGGTGGAGGAGAGGCAGAAAACCCACGACAGTACAGAGTCCTAAATGTCTCTCCTTCTCTAACTGACAGCTGAGGTGATCTAAGCTGAAATGATGCAGCTAAATCCGAAGGTTTCTCCAGCTGGGTTTGTCTACAGGCCTGTAGAGGAAACTCACCACAGCCCGACATGTGAAAGCCTGGATCACATATCAGGATCTTCTTTTCCTTCCGGCTTAACTGCATCCTAGCCATCTCTGAGAAGTAGACAGGTACAGCATCAAGAACTGGGCTCCCTGCTGAGGTCCTGAAGAGGGAACCCAGCTCAGCAAGCTCTCTGCTCCTGAATGAGTCCCAGCCAGCTCCATGACTACTTGGTCAGGAAGCACATTAACTGCTCTGCCCCAACCTCAGTACTTTATCTAGCATTTCCAGGGTGCCATGGAAGGTGGACAGAGATTGGGGTCACTACCCCTTTAAATATTTACAATTTTATCAGTCACTTATCCATAAAACCAGAATACATTTTTAAACCGGAAAAACTAAAAATTCAGTTTCTTAAAATTGTGAATAAAGTGTGTTGTAATCTATAGAGACCTCTACAAATGTGACCCTCTCAAATACCCTCATTAGCCCTTCTCCCTTGAATCACTCCATCTCTCTAAGTTTCTCTTCCACTTATATAAATGATTCGGGAAGTATAATACTATAATTTGCCTTACACTTATACTTTCATGATTTGAATTCTCTCTCTTTCTCTCTCACAAAATGTGTACCTCAAAGATGAGATCTGCATGCTGAACTTTTCTCTGTGTGGAGATGAGTAGCAGAATACCCAGTGCTAACATAAGCAGACTGGAGTTCAGGCATCTGGGTTTTGTAATCCCTGATTATAGCAAGAGAGTGAGAAAGGCTGCTATTACTATGATCCCCAGGCCAATGTCCTCCTTTGAGGGGGAAGGAGGAGAGGAAGAGCGAGTTCCATGGCTACAAGGCTCTGCATACAATGCGCACTTACAAGTAGCCACTAAATAAATGTACAGATCCAGATCCCTCCTACACAAAAGCCTTCTTTTTAAATGTTTCAGAACCTTCTCTTTCAATGTAGTACCTTACCTAAATAAATTATTGAGAAATGCCATCTTAATAGACTCACATAATTTGCAGATGGCAAAAGTTCACTTTAGGAACCGTATCCAAAGGCAGATAGGCAATGGGCATCATTTTGATCAATTCAATAAGTTACTATCTTTAGGTATTTCTTTATCACCCTCCATTAGGGCACCCTCATAGGCCAGCTGCTAACTAACCCCACTAGTGAATAATGACTGGTCTCACTTCTGACTGACAAGGGAGAGACCATCATCTCATGAGTTCTAACCATGTGGAAAGACAGAAATTCTGCTTCTATTTATAAGAATGATAAAGCTATTCTGTACCTCCCCACCCCCTGGTACCAGGGATAGAACTCAGGACCTCGCACTTGCGAGGCAGGCACATGCCACTGAGCTAAATCTCCAGTCCACCATTCTGTAACCTTTAACTTTTGACAAATTAAACATTCCTGAAAAAGGCTGATGACAATGATCTATTTTCTTTGTCATATGCAATTACTACCTGCAGTGCAGTAACTGCCTATAATCAAGAATAATATACTTGTATGAAAAGATACTTTATATACTGAATGTATAAGTGATCCAAATTATGGTCTCTGAGCCAAAATCAGCAGCAGCTTATTTTTTGCAAGGCAGATCTTTTTTTTTCTTTTTTAAAGAGTTGCAAAAAGAACTCCAAGATATGTTACCAAGACCTTGTGCAGCCTTACATAGCAAAGTCTAAATTGTTTTGCCAACTCTCAAAATATATTAAAAGTGAGTAACAGCTGTTTTTTATAAACCAATCCATTGAATTAATTCTGTAAATTAATCATCTGATGGATTGGCTTTGGATGAACTGATTTCTGGTATTTGGCCACTGAATATATTGGTCATTTGGCAGGAAGCTTTCCAAAAGTTTATCTGTAGTGAATTCACCTTAAGTTGGCCATGATTTCTCTCAAATGAAAGACTCTAATGACAGTGGCTAATGAAAAACTCAGCATATCACCACAGAAGGCCAAAGAATTCTGGTTTGGGAA